TACTTGATATGCAGTTCGGGAGTTTCGAGTATTCCCTTGGTTGCAGTTTGGGAGTTGGTGAATTTGTGGGTTTGCAGTAGCTGTCTGTGCATCTGAAAAAGGGGAATATCGCCTAAATGGTTTTTAACCTCTTGTGGGCAAAACAGTCCATTACAGTAGTATGACTGCCTATGTTCAGACCCTACACCAAAGATTAGGCAGGGTGCATAAACAAGTCTTTGATTCTATTCCAGATCCAGACTCTGATGCTGCAACTCACAAACTGCAGCCTGGTGATTGAGGCATGTGAGGAAAGGACTTGAACCACGCTTTGACGGTCCATTCCAAGTGCTCTTGACTACGGCTACCTCAGTGAAACTAGAAGGAAAAGCCACGTGGATACACGCCAGTCACTGTAAACAAGTCACTCCGAATGATCCACCGACGTGAAGCTGTTCTTATCCTTTACCATTGTATGCTGTGTTCGGATATGCTACTCTGACTTGAGACCAGAAAATAATAATGCATGGCAGGAAAATATATGGTTGCAGATAGCAAAGGCTTTTAATTTTACCTCCTTTTGCCTCAACCCTCTCCTCAGTACTGAAAACGCCATAGAATCTTTGTGGCGGAACCAGCCTTGCCACTGGGCATTGGAGAAGACTGATTGCCAGCCTCCTGCCATGTGACTATGGCCCCTGGGATGTATTGCCTGCTCTTGTGTATTGCTGAGGTTTGCTACCAACTAGGTGGATTTGGCTATGGAGCTTGTCTAGTGCCCTCTGTGGGTAGCAACAGCAATATGCACTACCTGAATAGCAAGACTGGTTCATTTGCATATTCGGGTAGATTTGCATATTGCTAATTGTGCAGGCACGTGAGATATTTTCTGTTCATTATTGTCTCCCCCACCTCTATAAAAATATGCCATTGTGTTATAATAAGTCACTGTATGTTGCCTGCTATGATTTGACAGTTTGTAATTTTATTGAGTTTTCACAGCAATGTTAATATAATGACCATATGGGCTAGACCCAAGGAAAATAAAGTTTTAGACAGTTCTTCTTCACCCTCAATCTAGAGTCCTGTCTCTTATTGGGGGATTTGCTATATCACTACAAGGGATTGCTATGCTCTGCACACTCCCTTAGCTAATCACTACTAAGCACTTTTAAGAGCTTGTTCCTGTCTTGCTCTCGGAAGGAGTCTACGGTGGTTATGGTGTCGGCTGGAGCGCTTGGAGCCCTCAAGGAAGCGCTAGGAGCATCCTTCGACGGAGGTACCCAGTCGGGGTGCCAGGTGATCCGTTACATTGGTTGGCAGCGGTGGGATGGCTTCCTAGCAGGGCACCGGCGCCTCTACTGGGATCCCACTGTGCTTTCTGGAATTCATGGAAATGGATAGAGCTAACATCCGTGCAGCATCCCCATCTGAGGAGGAGTTACAGCGGAGACTACAAGCAGCTCTGTCCCAGTACGATGGCCCTTTCTTAACAAAGGGTGAACTGATCTCTCTCTGGAACAATGTTCTTGAGGAGGTTTGTTGTCTCTGGGGAGAATCCCTCCCAACCATTATGCAATGATTTTGGGATCAAGTTTATTTGCGGATGCAATTCTTGGGAGAGCAGCCCCTGGCGGAATGGGTGTTTAAATTAGAGGAGCTGGTACAGAAAGAATTGTGGCTGGATGATTCATACCGGGCCTTAAGGTGGTATGCAGTCCAGCAGTACCCATTTCTAGCAGATGATGACCCTCCAGAGGGTGAGCACTATTATGGCCCTGGCCTATTGTGGGAGGCCTTTGAGGAAAAAATTGAATTGTGAAGTCCTGAGAGGTCACAGCTTTTTGACATTAGGATAAATATGGAACACCTACTGGATCTCTCAGAAGCAACTGACCTGGAACCTGATTTGACCCACCTGGCCACCATGGAGTGGGAGCTTGAACTGGATTACAAGCAATTGTTTGACTCTGCACAGCAGCAGGTACCAGAGAGAGATGTTAAAAACACCCTTACTGCAGATTGTAACCCTGAAATCACTCTCTTATCTAAAGCCAAATACTCTGCCCTAGCGTACACCTTGGTAGGAGTCCCAGGTTTAGCACTGTATAATGCCAGAATAGAGAATGCTGTAGCCTGTTCCCTTGCAAAAGGTTTAAATGCCACTTCACAGGCCCTAGAAGAGCTACTTATGGACAACCAGGCAAATAAGAAGGCAATCCTTGAGAATAGAGCAACCATTGACTACTTACTAATGAAACATGACTTAGGCTGTGAAGCTATTGAAGGTATGTGCTGTTTTAACCTATCTGACCACGGCACTATGATCCATAAACATATAAAAGATTTACATGACTTAGTACAGGATTTGATATACCTTACATCTGAATATAAGCTAGTAAATTATGTGTTTTTTTCACTATCTGAATATGTTGGTCAGGTAAATGTGGAAGGAACCGTATTCTCCACACCTGAATCATGGGGATACTGGGCAGCCATCCCAGATCTCCCACCTCCTGGCATGGAAACTCATGCAGCAGAGGTAGAGGTTGTCGGCCCCCCCGTTCAGCAGCAGATTGAGTTACTGGGAATAGAAGTAGTCGATCTCCCTCCCCAGCTGAAGTTTGCATTACAGGGAGAGGAGGCAGTTGGTCTTTTTCCCCACCACTGGCCTCTGCCCCCAACTTGCAGCAACGCCGTAAGTTGAGAGCAGGGAGGACAGCCTTTCGGTGATAGTGGAACTTGAGGAGTACACCACCACCCCAGCTGAAGCGCTGGCATTGAGTCAGAGTGCTGCTGGCCTCTGTGCCCAACTTGCAATGACGCTGGAGTTGAAGCAGGGAGATCAACCTTCTAGTGAAGGTGGAGTTCAAGGAGTGCGCAACTCCTCCAGCTGAAGTGCTGGCATCGGGGCAGAGCTCCGCTTGCCTCTGCCCAAACCCACTGGTAACCCGCGAGCCTCAGGCATCAGACACTGCTGGTCCCACGGAAGAGCGGATCCCAGAGCAAAGCACGGCTAACCTCAGCCCTTTGCCACAAGCACAAGTATTTCTATCCAATACAAATGGATGGGACTCTGGTCTCTACCTGTAGTCCCCAGGAAGGCTGGACAATGAGCTCCGAACCCCAACCCCATGTCAGAGAGGGCCCAGCCACCCTGCCTTCCCTCCAGCGGCTGAGAGAGATCCATGGAGACAGGACAGTGGGCACGCATCGCCAGGTATATGCTTTAGTAGATGCAGAGGTCGGCTGGCTAAGTGCTGCTCTTCCATGGGCAATTTGTTTGGGGTACCGATTCAGTGATGGCCTTGGTGATCTAACTTCAGAGTCATCTTGTCTGGGGTCTCCTGTATTGGTCTCCTTCTGAAGGGGGAGAAATATGCTGGAAACTATTCTGAGCGGGAGATACAGGGTTCCAGAATTGCTATTGGGGTCTATGGGGGTCACATTTGCCCCCTAAGACTGGAGTCATATGGGGATAGGTTTGAGTTTGGGAAGGGGGCCCTGGCAGATTCACTGGGAACTCCCTTTCTCCACTTCCAAGTCCCCTCTTATGTCTAAGTCACCCTGTGCTTATTAGAGGCACAGGGTGACCGAGAAGCCCAATCTGGCCTGCCCAAACCAGACTTTCACAGACTGATCGGCTATGCTCCATGCTCCAGACCGGGACAAACTATGTGGAACTTTGTCGAGAAGGCTGCCAGGATGGATGGACTTTTTGGGACTTATTACCCGACTAACTCAGGCACAGACCCGGAGGAGCTGCAGACTGAGCTCCCGGGTCCTCCCTCTCCCTCCCCTGCCGGCTGTCAGCACGGTGCCTGCGGACCGGGGAGGGAGATCTCTGATCTTCCTCCCCGGTCCGCAGGCACATTGCAGGGCTAGCACCTGCATGTGCTGGCAAGGTAGAGGGAGACCGGCGGATTTCTCGGGGGGGGGCAATTGCCCCGTTGCCCCCCCCCTGGATCCGCCAGTGTCCCAGTCAAGCCTCGGCGCCTGGCTCTGAAGTGTTTTAGGGTCCCTGATAGCTACAAGGAAGCAGACTTGGCGGAGGTACTCGGTCGGAGTACTGGAGCTCCGTTACAATCTTGTCTTATAGCTGTCCCTACCCCCATCTCACTGTTGAGGAAGTACCTACATACCCATAGACCCCATACCCACTGGTAGGCAAGCCTCCCCTAGCCCTGAAGACAATTAATGTGACAGGCGCTGAACTATATTGGTCTTTTTCATGTAATTGTTCAAGAGACCCTAATACTGAATCCCTGTTTTGCCCCACATGGTGGAAAAATACCACGAATTGTAGAGCCCTGAGCACCACTATGAATTGTACCAAAACTCACCAAGTTATGAGTTACCACTACAATGCATATCTTCCTAAAGGATTGACTTTCTCCTGTGGAAATATTACTTGCTTATGTCCCAGGTAACATGACCATGACCATGTTTTCCAAATCTGACCTGATCACTAAAACCACCCAGCTACACAAACTGCTGAGAGACAGGAGAGATGTTAAAAACACCCTTACTGCAGATTGTAACCCTGAAATCACTCTCTTATCTAAAGCCGAATACTCTGCCCTAGCATACACCTTGGTAGGAGTCCCAGGTTTAGCACTGTATAATACCAGAATAGAGAATGCTGTAGCCTGTTCCCTTGCAAAAGGTTTAAATGCCACTTCATAGGCCCTAGAAGAGCTACTTATGGACAACCAGGCAAATAAGAAGGCAATCCTTGAGAATAGAGCAGCCATTGACTACTTACTAATGAAACATGACTTTGGCTGTGAAACTATTGAAGGTATGTGCTGTTTTAACCTATCTGACCACGGCACTATGATCCATAAACATATAAAAGATTTACATGCCTTAGTACAGGATATCAAACAGGATACTGGCTTCTTTGGGGATTGGGATTGGACATGAGGGCTAGGAACATGGTTGACTTTACTAATTAAGAAACTTTTGTACTTTTTGCTATTAGCTGTATTTGTCATTATGGACATTTTTCTAACCTTTAGATTTTTTTCATGTCTACTAACCTCTCTATGTAAAAGCAAACCTACTGTTGGTCGTACCTCTCACATCATGCCATGTTCTGCGGAGATGTCTGGCTTTGGCTACTGGTATCCAGTACTCTTTTTTACAATTCTTGCTTAGTTTTTCTTGGTTTTTTGGTTTTCTATCCCATGTCTGTTTTTCTTTATGCTGGGTTTCTGGGTTCATTCTTATAGTCCGTCCCTGGATTTCCCAGTGTCCAGGTTTCATTTAAATGTTTGATTTATGTGGCCACACCCGCAGTGGTGTATTTTGGATTTGTGCTGCCCTAGGCACGACTAAATTCGGGCACCCCCAAAATCTAAATTTGTCCCCCCCAATTCGTGTCAAGGCCACTTTTTTGACTGACAGATACACAGTCATTGGTACACACTGTTTAACCAACACACACTTTCACTGACAGACACACACTGACACACCCACTCATTGACAGGCACACACTCTCAGATAAACATAAAATGATATACACACACTGACACACATTCACAGGCACACCCATTCTCACTGAAATACACACACACTTTCACTCACTCACAGACACACACTGACAGCTACACTCACTCACAGTAAGGTGGACAGTCCCAGAACACAAGTCAAGCAACACATTTGTCTAGGAGCTTCTGGTGGCATTTTTTGGCGCCCCCCCTGAAAGTGCCGCCCTAGGCAAATGCCTTGTTTGCCTTGTGGTAAATACATCCCTGCACACCCGTTTGTCTTCCACTTTCCTTTTGTTTCAGCCTGGACCTGCAGCAGTGTTTCAAGTCTCTGCCCTTTCTTGCAGGTAGGTGCTATATTGTGGTTTAGTATGGTTCTTTTAGCGAACATTAGGCAGAGTAGGACCTGCCAGATATGGGGTACATTGGCGTTGTGGCAGGCCAATGTACCCCATATCTGGCAGGTCCTACTCATATAATATGATCATATAATGTGACTAAACCCCCATGATTTTCATATATAATGCTTAGTTATGTCTCCTCTTGTTTTGCCTATTATATCTTGTCTTGTTTTATTTTGTATTCCCAGTCCTGTCCTGTCCTGCCCCTGTTTAGTTAATGTTCCCTCATGTCTTGTGTACATGTTCTGTGTTTTAGCTTCCTATCCTTCTCTGGTTCTGGGTTCTATTAGTTCTGTCTTGTTTTTCATGTTTGGTGACTATCCTAACCTTGCCTTGTTTCTGTACTGGATACATGTCTGCTGTAGAGCCCCCCTATCCAGCTCCTGGGAGGTCTGCTTATTTCCAAGCTCCTAGTTCCTGGGATCCGCTGTAGCTGCATCAGTGTTCTGGTATGTGGCCACGCAAACGCTGGTGCTCAACACCAGGGAGCGTGCGGTTACCCTGCACGCTGAAGACTCCCACTTATCATCAGGCACTCAGGGGTCCCGGTTTCCGTACCGCCACCCTGACAGTACCTTAACTTACATTCCAGCTCCGACTTCAGAAAGGTTTTATGATGTTACCTCGCCTAACAAATGAAGGAACTCTCCTCCGCTGATTCTGGTGGTCTCTCAGTCCAAGGGAACCGTGGTGAAGCAATAAATGAAAGTCCCACAGGCTTTGGCTAGCAGGCCTGGAAATACCTTGGACATTTGGGTGACCCTTGGATCAAAAGAGGGGATTGTGAAAGATTCTACCTTGTTTCCAAGGCTCAAGCTTATAGGTGTCATATAATGATATCCTATATTAAAATTGCCTAACTTGGACTCAGGAAATGCTTGATGCTTAACACAACACTTAAGATCATATATGTCTAGTTCCAGGAGCAGAGAGCGCCCACCTAAGATGTCTCTTCTCTAATCTTTTTGTTCTTTCTTACCTTGGAACTTTATTTGTTATGTGTACATGACGTTCATCCCTATGTCTTATCTCTTATCTGTACTCCCTTTCTATTACTGTCCTATGAGTATTTGCACGTAAGCACTTACTTTTTAATGTTTAAAACCCAGCTGATGAATAAAATGCCAGAGGCTTATTTTGAATACCAACAGGTGTCTGGTGTCTAATTCTCGCTTCTCCAAGTGCACTTGTAACAACAATTTGGGCTTCCTCTGAATATAACAAAGATCAACATTCTGATCCACAACACTGGTGAGGACAGTAATGGTTCGAATATCTGCTGAGGACACTCATGTTTTGGATATCAGGTAAGGCTGTTAATGATATTGATTCTTGGTGAGGGCAGTAATGGTTTGGATATCTGGTGAGGGCAGTAATGGTTTGATATCTGGTGAGGACATTCATGTTTTGGATATCAGGTAAGGATGTTAATGATACTGATTCCTGGTGAGGACAGTAATGGTTCGATATCTGCTGAGGACATTCATGTTTTGGATATCAGGTAAGGATGTTAATGATACTGATTCCTGCTGAGGACAGTAATGGTTTGATATCTGCTGAGGACATTCATGTTTTGGATATCAGGTAAGGCTGTTAATGATACTGATTCCTGGTGAGAACAGTAATGGTTTGATATCTGCTGAGGACATTCATGTTTTGGATATCAGGTAAGGCTGTTAATGATACTGATTCCTGGTGAGAACAGTAATGGTTTGATATCTGCTGAGGACATTCATGTTTTGGATATCAGGTAAGGCTGTTAATGATACTGATTCCTGGTGAGAACAGTAATGGTTTGATATCTGCTGAGGACATTCATGTTTTGGATATCAGGTAAGGCTGTTAATGATACTGATTCCTGGTGAGAACAGTAATGGTTTGATATTTGCTGAGGACATTCATGTTTTGGATATCAGGTAAGGCTGTTAATGATATTGATTCCTGGTGAGGACAGTAATGGTTTGATATCTGGTGAGGACATTCATGTTTTGGATATCAGGTAAGGCTGTTAATGATATTGATTCCCGGTGAGGACAGTAATGGTTTGATATCTGGTGAGGACAGTAATGGTTTGGATTCCTGGTAATTACCCAAATATCTGTTTCAACATAGAAACCGTAGACCATAAAGTCTGACTAATCTTTTTACTGATAACATTTTATTTTTTGTTCTGAATTAGAAGTTTCAGGATTTCACTTTCTAACAGAACAAATATTATATTCAAGGATAATTATATGTTGAGATGAAAGTGAATCTCAACAAGGATTACACAATGTTAAATAAAAACCAGAGTTAATCATAATAATGGTTTATCAATAAATATAGATTTCATTCAGTCCATAGCAATTACAGAGGTAGGAATAAACAGGATGAGACGAGGGAGGGTTGACTTGGTATGTTTCTCGTGTGGCTTACAATCTATATTTTAGATACAAATTCTCTAATTTAAAGGAACACTATCGGCAACCAGACTACTTCATCTCATTGACGTATTCTGGGTGCAGTATCCCTGTCCCCTTAACCCTGCAAGCGAAAACATTGACGTTTTAGAGAGACTAAAACCTACTGCCTCTAGTGACTTTCTATCAGACGCTGTGCATGATGATGTCAGACTACTTGCAAAACCCCACGGGAAAGCACTGAGCCAACGCTTTCCTATGTTTAAGGCCAAATGTGTGCGGCTCTTGCCACCCATGCGCACTAGGTTCCCAGGTTACACTGACGTTGGAGGAGGAGGAGACCTATCCAACGCTGAGGGACCTGGGGACGGGAAGGCAAGTGCTTAACCCCCACGGAAGACACACACACCGCAGAGTACTCAGAGGGACACTGTTGTGTTAGGAATACAGTTTTGTATTCCTAACATTATACTGTCCATTTAAAAAGAAATAAAGAGCAAAATAGGGATATATATATAACAGAGAGAGAGAAATATATATATATATATATATATTTATATTACAGAGAGACAGACAGACAGACAGACAATGAGAACTCGCTTGAGGAGTCTCTTTGGAAGATCCACAGAGTGCGGTAAATAATAATCTTATTGTTTCTAGTCTAGTCTGTTGTACATTATATTCTCTAATTTGATTATCCTAATGTGAAGTATGACAACATATTCTGTGGCGCAGTACAATGGGTGGATGGAACATACATCTAAAATTAACAAGATAGGAACAATCTCAGTCTAAATGAGGTAATGTGTCTTTGTCATTTCATGCCAGCAATGGGTCCAAAAGCTGAAATAGGAGTCACAGTTCAGGAAATGGGGGCCATGTGCAGGGTTTGGTTGTTGGGTAATGGTAATACCTGTAACATTCAGAATGAATCAAGAAAAAAATCTGAAAAGTGTAGCGCCTATTCAAGTATATTAACGGGAAACTATAGTCACCAAAACAACTTTCACTTAATCCCCCTGCAGACTCACTGCTCAATTCTCTGCCATTTAGGCACACCTCCCTGCATGTGACTTACACAGCTTTCCTAAACACTTCCTGTAAAGAGAGATCTAATGTTTACATAGTGAGACATCCGAGGCATGATCTATACCCAAAAACTACTTAATTAAGCTAAAGTTGTTTTGGTGACTATCGTGTCCCTTTAATCAGTCCGTACGTTCCTGTTTCATTAATTCTTGCCTGGGTTAATAATATTTCATCCAGCCCTGGAATCAGGATTTGTTACTTAGTCCAGAAATCAGGGTATGTTAAGCAGCTCTGGGATCAGAAAACATACATTCTGATGAAGTAATTGGCCTGTAAAATGAACAGAATAATGAGGATTAGCAATGAGAGGAAGGAGACATCAGGAATATAACACAGACTGAGATTGAAAAATAACAGGTTATTTATTCACTGTGATCAGGGATTATTTGCTAAAGTGATCATTCAAAGTGAATTACACTCCTAATGACTGTAAAGCAATGCAGTGGTTTTCCAATAAAGTGCTTCTTCAAGGTCAAAGTAGCCAAACTGAAAGCTCGCTGAATTAGAGCATTTTACCAGTTCATTTGGCCTTGAACGGTTACCCCAAGAACATTGACCGCCTATGCGATTTGAAGTAGTTGTGGTGCCTGCAGTCTCTTTGGAATGCTACAGCAAAAAGTCAATATAGAATGGGTTAACATACGTTTGCTGTGTAGTTGTAAAAGGGTATAAATATTCTAATTTATTTTTTATTAAAGCAGAAGTTTGTAATATATCTAAGGTTGCCAACAGAGGCGTAACTAGAAACCACGGGGCCCCGGTGCGAAAATTGCCCTAGAGCCCTCCCATAAATCTACATCCCACCAGATATGTCCCTGCCACATGCAGAAAAACAGATACACACGCAGACACACACACACATACACACACATACACACACACACATACACACACATACATACAGACACATACATACAGACACACAGACATGTAGAGACACACACATACACTCATATACACACTAACAGACACACACTCAGACACATACAGACAGACACACACACGCACTCTCAGACACACATACACTGACAGACACTCACAAACACACACACTCAGACACATACACTCACAGCAGGGCCGATGCAAGGATTTTTGGCTACACAGGCGAATATGTATTTTGCCCTCTCCCCCCAAAAAATGTATCTTCACCTGTGTGCCTCATAACTCCTCTTTTTTTGAATTTCTTACTCCCTTTTTGAATGTGTTATCCCCTTTAGTGTCTTACACCCACCCTGTGTCTCTTACTTTCCCACCAGCCCCTTTCTGTGTCACTGTGCTTTAGTGTGGGGGATAAGGGCAGAATTGTATGGACTAGGGACTTTATCATTATTATAATATATACATAGTGCCAACAAATTGTGTAGCGCTGTACAATGGGGCTTTAGTAGGCAGATAGGGCAGTACTGTGTGTGTAGGACAAGGGCTTTAGTCAAGGGGAGATAGGAGCAGTATTGTGGGGGGGGGAGGGTAGGGAATTTAGTGAGGGGGAATAGGGGCTATATTGTGATGGGGTCAGGGGCCGTATTGTTGCAGATTAATTCTTTAGTATGGGGACAGGGCCCATATTGTGGGGGATTGATTCTTTAGTGTGGGGGGATAGGGGCAGTATTATGGGGGATTGGGGCATTAGTGGTAGGATTAGGAACAGTATTGTGGGAAATGGGGCTTTAGTGTGGTGGAATATGGGCAGTATTGTGTTGGAGGGTAGTGGAACAGTATTGTTAGGGAATGAGTCTATAGTGGGGGGGTATTGTGGGTTCTGGAGCTATGGTGGGGGTTGGAGCTTTAGTGGGGAGGCAGGGGCAGTATTGTGGGGACTGGGGCTATTGTGGGGGAAAGGGACAGTATTGTGGTGGACAGGGGCTATGGTGGGAGGAAGAATAGGGACAATATTGTGGGGGACACCCAGACACACACACACACTCACAGACACACACACATTCACAGACTCACACATATGCACTTATAGACACACACTCAGACACACACACACATACACTCACAGACTCACACACATACACACACACACACACATATGCACTTATAGACACACACATTCAGACACACATACACATACTCAGACACACACACACACACACTCACAGACACGCACACACATTCACATACACACACATATACATACACACACACACATACACTCACAGACACACACAAATTATTCATATTTTTTAAATTTAAAAATGTCCACCCAGCCTCCCTACCTGGAGAGCTGGTGTGGATCTGTCCCTGGGGTCCAGTGCTGCTTCATTGTGACGGATGGCTGTATCCCTGGCAGAGACTGCGAGGGAGCTGTGATCTACCTGCTCTGCTCCCTCGCGGGCTGTCTACTGATGCCGGGAGCTGGAATATGACGTCATATTCCAGCTCCCGGCATCAGCAAACGGCGTGCAAGGGAGAAGAGCAGGGAGAACACAGCTCCCTCACTGTCTCTGTCGGAACACAGCTGCCCGCCGTGGGGTCCATCTTGGGCCCCCCCTATGACAGGAGGAACACGGGTGGTGGTGCATCTCGGTCTGCCAGGAGGTGCTCTCTTAGTGAGCAATTCCTGACAGACCGCTCGGCCACGCTACACACAGGCAGGAGGGGAGCAGCACAGCTCTCCCCTCCTGCCAGACAACTGCGGACCTTGGCCAGTGCGGCCCACGGTCGTAGGGGTCATGGCTGCGCTGGTCCCCCTGCAACCATGGTAGGTACGCCACTGGTTGCCGAATAGACCACAAAGTCTGTATAGCTGTCAGATCTTGGCTTTGCGGGTCTCTAACAAGTGTGTGTATTCCGATGAGAATGCAATGAGACATCCATGATATACAATCATAGCGCAGTTTATGAAGAACTAGCCAGGCTATTTCGCATTTTGGTCAAACGCGCTGCATCTCCTAAGATCTTGAGCACCTATTTAACAAGAATAAAACTTCTGCACAAATTTTAAAGAATCTACGAATTTCTGGTTTGCAGTACACTGTACGTACAGAGTTTAACGCCACCTCTGACGGCGTCTTTGGGTGTCATTATTCAAGAGTTATGGGCTGGCTAATATCGATTCTGTGCACAATTGTCACCTGATACCTGCACCCACAGCATGCTGGAACAGGAAACCAGTGTGACATAGCCCACACTCCATGCCGCCCATGTCCTCCCCTCCACCTACCCTCTTTGACCTCCCTCTAACTCTAGTGAGGGTAACTGACATCAGACATGGAGACTGGCCTGCAGGGAGAAATTGGTCTCAGCGCTGGAAAAGAGATACGTTGTGGCTTTTTTTTATTTTCTGTTTTCATTTGGGGAGGACCAGACAAGCACAGCTGTGTGAAGTTGGCACCCCATGTTTTTAAAACGAACACACCATTCGTTTGTGCTGACTTGGAGAATTTATATTTACATTTTATTAACATGGGGTGCAAAGTGGGCTAGGTTTAATCAAATACAATATGCAAAATCTTCAGACCCTGAGGAGGCAGGCTGAAAGCTAGCTGGATAAGAGGCATTTGTGGGTGTGGTGAGTGTAGGTGTAAAATGGGGGAGTGTTAAAGAAATGGATAAGGGGTTGGGCCATATAAATAGGCAGGCATTTTGCCTCTTGACTTCAGCCATCTTAAAAATAACGGCTTGGTAACAGCTTTACAGGTACCTTGTCTCAGTATTCCAGTTACCAGTGCTTGTACCACGGCCAGGGCATGGATATCAATTGCACCCTTGCTGCCCTCAGGGCTGAGGCTATCCAAGATGGTGGCCGGCACATACAGGCCCAGCTGGTGCGGCTGCAGGGTGCCGCCGTGATTGCCGCTTCCCCTGCCAGCGGTCAGTCTCCCGCTGCTCCTCGGTCCCCACACTCAGGGAGGAGGTCCGTTCCCCCTGTGGCAGGCTCGCGGGCCGGATGCCATGCGACCGTGAGCCAGGGTGGTGTGGCCCTGCCTTCTCGTGATGCTCCAGCTCCGACTACCTCACGGGCCGGGCGAGTTCTTTCACTGCCCACACATCGCGGACTGCGCGACGGATCGCGGCAGGCGCCATGCATCTTCTGGGTCCCCATCTGCTCAGGGATCGTTGTGGCCTGCATAGCGGACTTCAGGGGTGCGATCTCCAGCCCCAGCATCCGCAGCCAGGTGGTCTTCTGGAGGGGTGAGTAGGCCGCAGGTCGGCAAAGGTGTTTACACTGTCTCTGGGGGTTTGGGGGGGGCCAGCTAGTGAATCGGACAGCCCCCCCTTCCCCTCTCTCATCCCCCTCTGTCTCCCCTGGGCCTGTCCCTGTCGGGCTTCCCTCTCTTCCTCTGGGGATAGGCCTATGATGGCTGGGGCGGGTGGGCTGGGATCTCACTTACCTATGCTGTCTTCACAGGTCCCTCCTGAGCAGCCTTCCTGACGGTTTTCTTGCACTGTCCCTCCTGCGGTTGCAGTTCCCGTGGATCCGGCTCAGCCTGGGGGTCCAGGCTCGGTTTTGCTGCTGTCTGCAATTCCTGCGCCTACTGGTGAGTATAATAGCGGGGCGGGGGTGGGCCTTGGGGGGTGTAAAGACCCCGCATCGCGGCGCATTGGTTCGGAATATGAAGGGTTTTATGGATTCTTGGGAACACAGCACACGCGTTGGGTCCTCGTTACCAGCTTCTTTGGATACCGAGATTCGGGCAGGCTGGATGGGTCCTCCTGGGGTTGCTATGTCAACCCATCTCCCCCGGGCTGGGTCATTTTTGGACCCGTCTCCTACGCCACTAGTGGTAATGCCTGAGGCTTTGGTGGTTTTGCCGGTGGCAGTTCCCATGGTGGCAGCGGCAGCCTCCGGTGGTGAGGTGGCCCCTGCTGCACATGGGGTGGCGTACATGTTTTGGTCAGGCCCAATGGGCCTTCACTTGAAGCCGGAGGTTCGGGAAAAGATTTGGAAAGGGGAATTCCTGGAGATCTTTTCCCTCCTCCCCTTGGAGAATTTTCCCCAAGAGGACAAGGATGCAAAAGAGTCGGACAAGGAGAAGGAGTGGTACCGGTACAGAAAAATCCTGAAACCATTTGG